TGAAAACTAAAATTAAAACTTCTATCCTCTAAATAAAATAAAAACAAATAAAAAATGATCTTTTCAAATATCTGAAAAGTGGAGGTAAAATGTCTGAATGTTTTTTTTTTCCAGCTGTAGTTTCAGGCTCTTTGATCCAGATGATGGAGGTTTGGGTTCACAGCTCTCGGCCTAATGAGCCACACGTATTGATCTGCTGGATAAACAGCTGCAGTGAGGCTCAGCTGTATTGATGGAGGTGCGATAAGCTCCTCCACCTTTCCTCACAGAAGAGTGTGCTGAATTACAGAAACAGCTCACACAGAGAAGCTACACAGAGAGATGTCTGTATCAGCAGAGTTCGGTCTGCAGCTCATTAACCAGCAGACTGAAGCGTTTAACATTAACAGAGAATGACAGCCAGCACAAACACTTGGGAATCACTACAACGATCTCCAGTTTAATGTGGAAATCTCTTCTTTTCTAAACTGAAAAACCTACAGGTCTTCAAAATAACACAATACATTTTGTGTGCGTTTACCTGCAGACTCTGTATGGTGTTCTTCAGCTGCAGGTACTGAGAGATCTTCTCATAAACCTGATCCCTCTGCTCCACCACCTTCCTGCCAAACGACAGCTGTCACTTGATTTACAGAGAACATTAACGCCTTCAGATGGACCAGAATAATTCAAACAGCCTAAACACGCCAAGAAAATCTGATTCAAAGCACCAAACAGCATTTCAGACACCTGAGCTCTTTAGTCTGTGTCACCAAACAGTCAGATGCCAACCTGAAGAACCACCTGAATACCTGTAAGATTAGGTCTACCCTTCTTATCCATCACACATGTGTACTTACAACAGATTCAATTCAATTGTATCCTTTCTATATAACTGAGCTCCTTCTTACATGTAGTTTTTAGATTTTTGCACCATTTTGTTCTGTAACTGTACAAAGTAATTTCTGTATTTCTTTTCTTACACCCTAATAAAATTCTCAGTGTTCACATTAAACACAACCAGTCGGGTCTGTGCATGTACAAGTAACCCATGTGAACCAAAGGCTAAGGCCTTAAATTCCTCTAAATACTTTTCCAAGTCTTGAATCTGTATGATGTCATTGAGAAGAGATATCCCTAATATAGCCCACCCACCTGCTGTCTGAGGAGCTACACCGGTCATGTCAAAGGCAAAAAAAAAAATATTTGAGTAATAATTAGTAGCTTTGCATGATTACTATGAATCATGCAAAGCTACTCTAGTGCCATAGTGTGCAAGAATAACAATATAAAGCTGTAAATTAACATAACTGGATGTGCTTCGCACTCTGTTAGCTCATGCTGAGCTCTGCAGTACTGGCTGCAGAATGTGAAGCAGTACGGTATTTGAGATGTTTCCTCTTAGTGTTGTCAAAACGCTCCAGTTCTGTTTGGTTTGTTGACCCAGTTGTTGCAGTGCTGGCACAGCAGTGACATGTACGACAATCCCACTGTATTAAAAACACATTGCACGCAAAGGCTGTCTTGACAACGTCTACATGCCTAAATGCATTGAGTTGCTGGCATATGAATCGCTGATGAGATATTTGGGTTGAGCAGGTATTCCTAACAAAGTGACCTGTGAGTGTAAGTATTTAATAATCAGTCTGCAAGTAATTAAGGCGCAGAGGGGGACCAAAAATGACACCAGCACTATTATACAATCGGCAGCTGTGAGACTTGACATTTATTAGGCTGTTAATTAAGCTTTAAATTACTTTAATTTGTAGTCAATCCTCATTGACCTTCATATCGCCTCTACTACCTGCTCAAAGTCTGCCAGGATAGAAATCTGAGTTCATATCTATATATATCTACACAAGTATTTTGCACTACTTTAACTACAGATTACATTTCTTTTACTTTAGTTTTTAAAGTTCTGTAACTGAATAAAGTTTTCTGTACGGACATATACTGTGTTCAGACATCAGCTGTAGTGTCTTCTTACTGTAAGTCTCTCTTCAGGACTTCATTGATGAAGGTTTCATACTGCAGCACCTTCTGGTCCACGTTAGGTCTAGCTGTGGCATTGTCGGGAGCAGACATTTCTTCACTGTCTTCTCTTTAAAAGAAGCTACAAACAACAGAAAAAACATCCGGTTGGCCAACTACCCGATTTCTCTGTCGTAAACGTTAATGTTTCTGGACACCAAACTCTCCGGCTAGCATGCTTAAGACAGGATGTAAACACGCCACTCTACACCGGATGGGAAGAAACTGTGAACAAGTACTTCCGGGTTTCCAAATAATCACAAAGAATAGATTTTGTGAGAACAGAAAAGACAAAACGACAGCAAAAGCTTGTCAACTAATGATAGCATAAACTCGGAAACTCAGAAAAAGCCTTACTTTATTTTTTTTTTAATATACTAGAATAGAAAGCCTTTTTCGTTATGTAGAATACCAGTACGGAGTGAATGATTTTTATTCTTTATCGTGCTGCTGTAAAACAAAAATTTCCCAATTGGATTCAAAAAAGTCTGTCTGTCGGTCAGGGAAATTTGAAGGATTTGTCTGAGCAGATTATAAATTTTAGACACATCAAGTACATCTCTATACAGTTCAAAAGACGTGCTTTATAAACTGGGGGAAAAAAACAAAATAGCTTTTTAATCATTAGTCGAATGAAATGTTCAAGTCAAATTGTTTAGTTTGTACGTTAAAAAATTAAACAGCGAAAGAGAACAACAACAAAAAAGAATCAAAAATAAAATAAAATAAAATAAAAAATTGTTTCTGCCTAATGCTTTCTACTTTGTCTGGCTCTATGGCGGTCCTGTCTCATGACGTCACTGTAAACAAACATGGCAGACCACGGGCGGCTCTGTAGCTAGCTACTGTAACACGAAACAATTATTAAAACGTCCTAAATGAAAATGCGTATTGAAAAATTACATATCGTCGTTTTTGTAGTTTCTTTCTTAACAAGCGTGCGTGTCAATCCGGCAGCAGAAGTTAAACAGTAACAAGTTTTAAAATTTTAACTGGGTAATCGGAGCTAAGACGTTGCCAAGGCAACGTTAGCCAACAGCTAGCTGTCTCAGGATTTATTTTCTGAGAGACTTTTCTTTACAGCTGTTTGTTGTTGCATATGTAATACAAGCCGAATTTAAGTTAACGGTTTAAACTTTTACTGGGCTTAAAATAATAGTTTAATAACTGTATCTTATTGAGCAAACGTGCGCAGCATCGTGAACAGCTTAATTTTTGAGTGAAGTTCGAGGTTGGCATTCCTCTCTCTGGTTTTCTGCTCCAAGGAGCTAATTTGTACATCATTGGGGGTTTACTTCAAACCACTATTTGAATTTAAAAAAAAATCAGTGAGAGTTGTGATCCAGATTAAATCCAGATTAACTGAAGCTGTTTTACACGCTCATGAAAACATGGAGCAGTACAACATTCTGGGTCGGACAGGAGAAGGAGCTCATGGCATAGTCTTCAAGGCCAAACATATTGAGGTGACGGACTGGTGCTTTTATGTCTGCATCTTACCTCATTTCTTTTTTCCCCCCTTTTCTTTGTGTAATCCGATCAGCATTAAATTTGGAGTCTAACCTCAGCGGCTTAGAAATGTGACATGGAAATGTTCTTGTGTGTCAGACAGGGGAGACGGTGGCTCTGAAGAAAGTGGCTCTGAGGAGGCTGGAAGACGGCATTCCGAACCAGGCTCTGAGGGAAATTAAAGCACTGCAGGAGATCAAGGACAATGAGCATGTGAGTGAATGTGCAGAGTTTTTACAGATAAGAGTCATTTTAATCTTAAAATTTGATTAGTGTTTAGCAGCACGGTGGTGCAGTGGGTAGCACTGCTGCCTCACAGCAAAAAGGTCCTGAGTATGAGTTCGGCTCCCTTCTGTGTGGAGGTTGCGTGTTCTCCCTGGGTTCTCCCTGGGTTCTCCCTGGGTACACTGGCATCCTCCCACAGTCCAGAAACATGCAGTTAGTGGGGTTAGGTTAATTGGTAATTCTAAATTGCCCATAGGTGTGAATGTGAGTACAAATAGTTGTCTGTCTCTATGTGTTAGCCCTGCAACAGACTGCCCACCTGTCCAGGGTGTACCCTGCCTCTCGCCCTATGGTAGATGGGATACACTCCAGCTCCCCTGGTGGCTGGGGGGACATCACAAACAAGATATCACAGAAACCAAAAATTAGCACATAGAAAACATAGACAGTCAAAGCAGAGCAGCAAGAACAAAGCCAAGCATAACAGACGTGTTAATAAAAAGGAGATTAGGCTATATGAGAAAATTATAAGAAGCTGCAGAGTGTTTGGAGTCTGAAGGGATGCAGGACTTCTTTCTGTGACTTCCTCCTCAGGTGGTGAAGCTGAAGGACGTCTTTCCTCATGGCACGGGCTTCGTCCTGGTGTTCGACTTCATGCTGTCTGACCTCTCTGAGGTCATCAGGAATTCCCAGCGCCCTCTGACCCCTGCGCAGGTCAAAAGTTACATGATGATGCTGCTGAAGGGTGTGGCCTTCCTGCATCACAACAATGTCATGCACCGGGTGAGCGCAGCTAACAGTTATTATCATTAATGAGTCATCTGACTGTTTTCTCAGTGAATCCTGTGTTTGTAACAAGCAACACTTAAACATACAAGGATATTTAAATACTGTTGGTTATTCATAATAAATGAAAAGCTGAAAATATGGGAAATATGTGGAGAGTTTGGGGTTCTTTTGCTTTAACAAAATAAATCAAACCATTATAAAGTGACGTTTGTGTGTTTGCAGGATCTGAAACCAGCAAACCTGCTCATCAGCTCCTCAGGCCACCTGAAGATTGCAGACTTTGGTCTGGCCCGGCTATTCAGCGAGCAGGGAGAGAGGCTGTACAGCCACCAGGTGGCCACCAGGTAAATATGATAAGATGAGATTAAATAAGAAATACTTTATTTAGCAGCTAGCTTTAGCTAATCAAAGTAAAATACAGTATGACTTACCAAAAGAACTCAGTGAGGTAAAAAAACACGAAGAGCAAAATGCTCATTTAAATAGAAAAATGACAGTAAAATGAAAGATCTCAAGTGAAAATTTAAATCCAATATAATGAACCTAAAAATAAGTACTTTTGTATATAAAATGCAGTAATGCAGTATCTAAAAGGCTGAATGTAATACAGAAAATGGCTCTATAAAGTAAAGTAGCACTAACACAGCATTAGCTTTAGTGCTGCTGGGAAAAATCCACGTGGTGACATGTAAAATGCAGTCAGATGATATTTTAAATATTCACTCAGACTTGCTTTAAAGCTCGACTGGTGAACAAATGTGTCACAGAACAGATTCACATCTTCAGATTTGAGGTGCTCATTACACCTGTGAATAATAATCATGTTAAAGTCGCCATGTCATGTGACTTGCTGGCTCAGTTCATTCTAAAATAATCACCACTTTCAACTGGACATCAGTACGTTATCAGTAATGTGCAGTAAATGTGCTCAGTTACATTTGACCACTGTGTGTGTTTAGATGGTACAGAGCCCCTGAGCTGCTGTACGGAGCCCGAAAGTACGACGAGGGAGTCGACCTGTGGTAAGTACAGCCCTGAAAATGCTGCTAAAAGTAGCGCCCACACTATTATTTTTTGCTGTTGTTCGACCATTATAGCTTACATTACATTATATAGATTTACATTACATAGTACTTGTTTAACCAGGCATTCGGGGCTAATTAGTGTGATTTTTCACCTGGCTCTGCATTTATATTAATTATTTTATATCTGTAATTGATATTTTATATTGTGATTTTATCTGTATCATGGTTTTACTGGAAAGCACTTTGGTGTACTTTGGACTTTAAATGTGCAATACAAATAAATTTGATTTGATTATCTACTGTGAATTCTCCGCTGTTTAGCTTTTACTCAATAAACCTGGATGCTTTTGTTTCTGTTGTGCATGCTTGTATTCTTTTCCTGTATCAGCGTATTTTATTATATATTATTCTTTAACATACTATGTAACATGGGACCATGTAACATAGAAAGAGTAAGCTTTAGCTTCAGTACACTCTAACTCTGTTAGTGTTCACAGTTCCTGCTCAGGTGTAAATGGGTCCAGTGATCAGAGATGAACAGCAGGGGGCAGCAGCAGTCTGAAGTCACAGCTTACTGTTTAGTCCGTGTGTGAGTGCTTGTGTGTGTGTTTTAGGGCAGTCGGCTGTATTTTTGGGGAGCTGTTGAACTCGTCTCCTCTGTTTCCTGGAGAGAACGACATCGAGCAGCTCTGCTGTGTCCTCAGAGTGCTGGGAACCCCGACTCAGGACAGCTGGCCTGTAAGACACACACTGGTTTTTCCATCACTTCAGGGGACATTACATTAATATACATTCATTTTCTTAGGGATCTTTTTGTATTAGGTTAAACTATTAAGCTTTATATCAAAGTATCATCTCACACATTCTGCCTTTTATATAAAAGAGAAAATGTAAACACAATGAGGATGCCTAATTTCCACATGTCATCATCACTCATCACTCAGTGGTAGTGTTTACTCTTTCATCTTTGCACATAGTGCATATAAATATCCGCCGATATCCACGTTCATTAAATTTAAATGTGCTAAAAAGACGCAATGTGTTATTTTTTAAAATAATGTTTTTTAGTGCATAGTCTACATTATAATCATCATCAGTATATAATTATATGTGATAGGCCTGCAATCATCTGCCTGAAATATTGGTTGGTCTCCAGTTAGCTTTATTTAAAATGTTTAGTTTAAGATGAAAGGAAATCCAGTAGACTAGCAGTAAATGATGATGAATATGTAGAGAAATTAAATTGGACCTAAAATTGATCCTGTGTAATTTACTCTAAAAACCAACAACTGTTTGAAGTCCGGTGCCATTTTTGTGGTCTGTGTGAGATTTTATCTGAAGGCTGAGGTAAAATAATGCAAAGTTTAATTTTGTCCTGTTTTTTTCTTTTATGGCTGTGAAACTGGTTAAAACACTTTAATCCCTCTCCTGTCTGTCTCCAGGAGATAGTGGAGTTGCCAGATTACAATAAAATCACCTTTAAGGAGAATCCAGCGATCCCATTGGAGGAAATCATCCCTGACACGCCCCCTCAGGCAGTGGACCTGCTCTATAAGTTCCTGGTGTATCCATCTAAACAGCGCTGCTCAGCCAGACAGGTAAGAAACCTGAAGCAGAGCTTAAGTTTAAAAACGGAGTTCCTCAGGGCTCGGTCAGAGGTCCTCTCATTTTTACATAAAGAATCATTTCTTGGGACATAGCCGTTATATTTTCCCTGATCACTGTGGTCTGTTTATCACCCATTATCACTCAGATAAAGGTTAATAAACTGATTATTGATCGGTGCTCTCCATGTCCTCTCCTCCTTACTGCAGGCTCTCCTCCATCCATATTTCTTCACTTCGCCAATTCCTGCTCACCACTCAGAGCTGCCCATCCCTGAAAGGGGAGGGCGACCCCCCCGCCAACGTTTCCAGGCTCCGCCCACTGACTTCTCAGTGGACCTACCATTGCAGAACAGTATGGTAGACCCTGCCCTAATACAGGGATACGCTTCCTGCCTCTGAACTGACCGCTGATCTTTACCATCTCTCAGCTGCTCTTATACCAGTTAGTCTTGTTTTATATATTTATTTATTATCTGGTTTACTAAATCCTCTCCTTCAGACTGAATCCTCATTGTTTTATGAACTTTAGCTCACACAGAAGATTTCTGACGGTCTTTCCTGAGCCTGAACCTCTTCTGTAACCACTTGTAACCGTGAGAAAATGACCTAATACAGTTAAATTTCCACACACTGAATTTATCGACTAAAAGGAATTAATGTTTAGCTCCACTGGGTCTCCATGTGGTAAAAGGATGGAATAATTAAAAAAAACAAAACACAAAATCAAGCAGATTTTTATTCTAAAAATATTTGTTTCTGTTCTGTTCAGGGGCGATCGTGGCTCAAGAGTTGGGAGTTCGCCTTGTAATCGGAAGGTTGCCAGTTCGAGCCCCGGCTCGGACAGTCTCGGTCGTTGTGTCCTTGGGCAAGACACTTCACCTACCGCCTACTGGTGTTGGCCAGAAGGGCCGATGGCGCAATATGGCAGCCTCGCTTCTGTCAGTCTGCCCCAGGGCAGCTGTGGCTACAACTGTAGCTTGCCTCCACCAGTGTGTGAATGTGAGAGTGAATGGGTGGATGACCGGACGTGTAAAGCGCTTTGGGGTCCCTAGGCGGGACTAGTAAAAAGCGCTATACAAATACAGGCCATTTACCATTTATGAAACATGTTGAGAGTTTTATTTAAAGTAAAGTGTGGAGAAGTTGGGTTGGTTCCTGACCATTTGTTTCCTTTAAATATGTCATTTCTGAGAATTAATCTTGAAAATAATGATGTGTTTACAGCGTGAGCTGTGTGCCTGAGACGACCATATCAAAGAATGCACTCACTGACATCTTACAGAACCAAGAGTACAAAAAACTGACTGAAACGGAGTGTAAGAGCAGACTGAACCTGTGGATTAGTGATTATTTGTACACACACTGACATCAGTACTGTGTGTGGCGATGTTTAACTAGAGCGTCCACGACTGGAACAGCAGACCAGGAAAAGTAGAAGAAGAATTTTTTTCTTTTCTTTACTCTTTGATGTGTTTTTGAGGCCAGTTGTGGGCTGAACCTGGACTCCAGTGGACTGACAGTGATCTCATATTACACCATGTTTACAGCAGTAAATGATAACAGCTATGTAAACACTGGAAACTCCAAATTTCAATAATAAAAAAAAAATCCCTTTCAAAAACCCACGTCAGAATTTGTAGGAGGAGTCAAACACCTCCTCTTCCTCCTGGTCGCCCTCCTTCAGACCCCAGAGCAGCATTCAGAGGAAGTTAAAGCCCTCAAAGCTCTTCAGCCTCTGTGAGTACCATCAGAAAATAGAGCAGTGATCCTTTGTGTTAGAGAGAGCACTCACTCAGTCTTTAATGTTTCTTACCTCCTCTTAGAAATTCAGCGATGATGTCAAACTATTTGCCGTTAGCTTATTGGTCTTCTGCTGTGACGTCCAACAGATCTGAAACAAGCTTCAGTACGAAGGTGAGAGTCTTTTATTATATTCCTGCTTATGGAGTCAAAATGTAATCAAGTACAAGTATGGAAGTATGTAATCTGATGTTCAATAAACATATGGAGTGTTTTTTTTTTCTTCTGAATAAGTAGTTAATGTTTTTGCTTTAATGTGCTTTTACCTGTACAGAAGTAAAAAGTGCCGTCCTGAAAATGTTATTTGGCTAAACGTGTGCATAAGAATCACCAAATAATTTATGGTGATTCTTATGCACACGTTTAGCTCTTTGAAAGAAGATTGAATTTTTTTTTTTTTTTGAAAATGGAGAGTTTATCGAAACATCTGACAAATTAGTTTGAAAAATTCTTGAAATTTGAATTTCCACATATGACTTTACATTTGTATCGTATTTGCGACGTCTGGCATTTAAAAAAATGTTTAAAAAAGTATTGTGCGATTTATTTAGGCTTTTCAGGGGAAAAAAATCACACTGATGATGTAGACGTCTCAAAAACTCCCAAAAAATGTGTGTATCAGAGATGGTACCCGGGGACTAACGGGGTTGCAGCTTAGCTCGGTTCGATGAATGGGGCCCTGGTCTTACAAAAATTCCTGATATTCCTCAAAGAACGAGGCCTTCTGAGGCCTCGTTAAAAGTAATTATAGGAAATTATTTGTTTCTTCTTTTGTGACGCGTCCAGAGCGCCTGACCTTCATCAAACATAACAAAGTTTCCTCATCTGATATTTAGTTGATTTATATTGATGTATATATGATATATTTATTTATTCTTGTTACGCCTTTTCTGTTACGTCACTGACCCCACAGCCGGGCTCAGGGGTCAGGGAGCCTGCGGTAGTTTTGATATAAGCTGATCTGTTAGATGTCAGATGCAGGTTTCTCTTACATTTTTACTACGATCTCTTTTCAGGTGGGGCCTGTCCTTTCAGACACTTTCCTCCAATCACCATGCACATCCCAAGAGGTCCCTCCCTCGCTCCTCCTCAGCCCCTGCCTCTGGCTGAATGATTCCAGCTGTCAGTCACCGAACCCTGCTTACGTCCCACCTGCATCTTCTTCATCCTTGTATAGTAATCATGCTCTGATTCCACACCCCACCCACCTCCTCTCCTCAACACCTGGATGTAACAGTTACCATGGCAACCTGTACACACCCTCCTCCCCCTCTGCAGGTGACTGGATGCTACCTGACAGTCTGTCTTGGGGGCAGGGATGTGGACCAGGTGAGTAATTACCTGCCTGTGCTGGTAGATCAGCGTGTGTGTCTTTTGTGCTGATGTGTAATTTGTCATCGTTTGCTCAGAGCAGCGCGAGTGCGTGAGCTGTGGGACGCAGAGCGCCCCCCTGTGGAGGCGAGACGCTGCAGGTCGACTCCTGTGTAACACCTGCAGCCTCGGACAGGAAGCCAACAACACACCGCTGCTGAGACCGAAGAGACGAGCTGTAAGACGACACACACGTATTTGAAAAATTGTGTTAATGTTTTAATTAGAAAATAATAATATTTTATTATTATATTGCACCAATTTAAAATGAGCATCAGAAAATTTAAATTCTACACTGTACAGCAGGTAGGACTTTTATATATAACATTTTATATGGATATATCAAGAGTTTTTTTGAAGTTTACATTATTGTTTTAATTTTAATTAAGTCCCTCACAGGCATCTGTATCTATATTAATTTATCTTTTATATAATAAAAATTGCTTGCAAAGTTGCAGTCATTGATGATTCTGGTGTCTGTTGGGGCCTTTGGCTGAAATTCACATTATAAACAGTAATATAAGTGAGAAAGTACATCACTTTCAAAGATATTTTTTTTGTTTCTGATGACTGAACTGACAAACGGGAACATGACGTCCTGTCATGGGGACTCTTCAGAGCACGTTGTACATACAGTCTAATCAGTTAAAAGTGGAATCCTGAATCTGTAGTTAACATTTAATGGTTGGACCAAACCCTTCTCTTTCCTTCTGGTGCCAGAAACTTAATCATTCTGAGAAAACTTAATGAAGGGATGTAGTAAATTATTTCACATTATAGAATTAGAATTCTAAATTACCCATAGGTGTGAATGCAAGTGTAAGCGGTTGTCGTCTCTCTGTTTGCTCTGTGGTAGCTGGGATGGGTGACCCTGATGAGCAGAAGAGAATGGATGAATGGACAATAAAATACACACAGCACAATAATTTACACCAGTACATCAGAGTAATCAGAGTACCTTAGCATACACATCCAAATTTCTTTGCGTCTCAGTTTCATAACTTAGCATTCACAGCTTTGGAAGTTAGCCCCGGCAGACACAGCTGTCATCAGTGAACTAGAGAAAACTGTTCAAGATGGCAGCTTCCACTCTGTTACTGGTGCCCAACAAAACAGAGAGTAAACCAGCAACTGTAGAAATGGAAGAGACCAGGTTTATTTTAGTAATGATGCCAGGACCAAGCTGGCTGGTTGTAAGATATTTATGCCATATTTACTAGTTCCTTCGGTCTACAGTGTGGCGGTGGTGCCCTGACTCTGACTCCCTCCATACACCCTCGACTCAGTCATGTGACAGCCTGCAGAGATAAACACACCAGGCTGCTCTGCAGGCTAAGCTAACCACTGTTTAAAGCCAAAGTTTTCTCATCTTCCTCTTTTTTTCTTCTTCTCCTCTTCATTTTCATTGATCGCATCAGTTATCAGGTTTGATCAAAACTCCAGCTCAGGCATTCTTAGGGAGATCAGGTCATTGTAGTTTGAAGTTACTGGCGTGGGCCCTGAACAGCTGCCTGCCTCAGTGGCTCCTCTGATCGACAGACTAATTCTTAACTATTTATGATACCCAGTGACGAACAATACGAACAACACCATCTAACACTTTATAATAAAACTTCAAGTTAATTTTGGGTAATAGTTGTTTTTTTTTTTACTGTTCACAAAGAATAAAAATAAAAATATTAAGAGCTAATTATTGCTTTGGAAACTAATTGATAACCATTATTTGGAGTGCTGTTGTAAATGTGTAAGCGATGGTGGTAACAGTGTAAGGAGGCAGGTGTAGTGCGCCGTTGGAGAGCTCGGTTTGTGTTCGGTTTCACTCACAGCAGACTTTTGTTTTCACTCCTTGTTTACTTCTGCTTTTGCTGTTTGCTGAGGTTGAGGAAAAGATTGTGGTTGGGGTTAAAATCATAGACTGTTTCTAAAAGATGGACGTGGACGCAAAGATGCTCCGGTTTGTGCCGTCGGGACCTTTGCATTTTTGTTTTTTACTGTTTTTATTTGGTTGGTTCGAGTTAGAAGGGAACACATTTCAAATGCTCGCTTATTCAGCAGCTGGTGCTGCTTCATTAGCAAGCAGCATCCTTAAGCTGTACAGGTGCACTGCACAGACACAGAGATCATTAGTTAAATGCTAGTTAACTAGTTTGTGCACATAACTAGGGGTTACATTTGGTTTCAAACCAGAACGACTGTATAGATGATGGATGAGTTATTTCTGTTATACTTATTTGAAGTCTGCTTGAAGTCGGCTTAAAGGGCATGTGGGTGCACTTTATGCTTGCGTGAAAGACTCCAAGCAGTCATTAAAAAGTTGTACGTCTGCACGGAGCTTCATGCTCACCATTTGATGACATCAGTTTTGTCAGTTGGACCCATGTGGACCCCTGCGTGCTCGCAGATTCAGAAACAAAAACACAATATTTCAGTCACACCGCAGCACAGACTGGTCTGTTCGTACAAAAACAAGGTCTAGATGTTCATTGTAGAGACTCAGATGAGTGGAGGTGAAGCCCAGCGGACGCTCGCCTGTGCTGGGTCAGTCAAAGCAGTCATGAAACTAACAAACTCAAACGTGAGCAGGTCATTAAAACAGCTGCGATCAGGCTGTAAACCTTTTTATTTCTGCTGACAAGACCAGTGATATCTCAGTACATTTACTGAAGCACAATTTTAATGTACTCTTACTTTATTTACTTTTTACTTAGATGCAGTTATACTGTTCTTTTATCCTGTCTTCCTTCTCTCACCCCAACCGGTCGCAGCAGATGGCCCCGCCCCTCCCTGAGCCTGATTCTGCCGGAGGTTTCTTCCTGTTAAAAGGGAGTTTTTCCTTCCCACTGTCACTAATGTGTTCTCATAGGGGGTCATGTGACTGCTGGGTTCTCTCTGTAGGGTCCACCTTACAACATAAAGCACCTTCAGGCAACTGTTGTTGTGATTTGGCGCTGTATAAATAAAACTAAATTGAAAATACAATTTTTAATGTACTTTGTACTCCATACCATTATTTAAAATTTTTAGCTACTTCTTCTTCTTCTTATTAAGTATTATTATATTTAACCCTGCCCATATAAGTAATGGAAAACACCTCCAGCTGAAACAATAAAGTGACACAATAACCGATCAGTAATTCTGATCCTCTAATATGATGAATGTGATTCAGCAGACTGAGTACTTTTACTTTAGGTACTTCATTTATATTCTGATGGTAAAACTTCTGCTTTTGAGGCTTTTACTTAAGAAAATAATTGAACAACAGGAACAGATCTAACACCATCTGCTGGATGAGGGACATGCACTGAAAGTCCTGCCAGTTTTTTCTTCCTTTTATTTATTACTGAAAAATTCAGATTTCCTGTGGGAAACATCTTGTTTGAAAAAGAAAATTGTGTTAAATTACCTCAAAGTATAATTCAAAACATCATGATGTGTTATTCCAGAGCAGGATTCAGAGGAAAGGAACTCAGTGTGTCAACTGTCTGACTGAGCACACGACGCTGTGGAGGAGAAACTCTGCAGGAGAAGCCATCTGCAACGCCTGCGGCCTCTACTACAGACTACACCGGGTACTACAAACTAAAATACTGCTCTGGCCACATGCTTTACTTCCTCTAGTAAGAGTGAAACAGCAAAGAAGGTGTTCCTTGTACTTTGAGGCTGAGTCTTTGTTAAATGTTTGCAGGTGAATCGCCCGCTGGCCTTGAAGAAAGATGGAATCCAAACCAGGAAACGGAAAGTGGTCACTAAGAAGAAGAGGAAAACTGACCAATCAGAGACCAAGCTGCCTAAGGGGGTCCAGCCCAGTGATGTCACAGCAGCTGACAGCAGCGTTGTCGGGTTTTAGGTGACCTGATGCTGCAGGTAAAACAATCTGCAGCAGTTTAGGTTTTATTGTCAGAAATCAGTCAGAGATAAACTGTAATGCAAGAAACGTGCATGTTTAGATTCTCAGGATCTCATTACCTCTGATCTCTCTCTGTTTTGAACCTTCATAAGCCCACCAGAGGAAAACATCAGCTCAGGACCTTCTTCTTCATTATCAGAACAATCGAGTGAATAAATAAATCCATGAACCTCTGCAGACAGGAGCTGCTCGCACAACCTTTTCAGACGTGTCTGCTGTTTTTGCTTCCTGTGTGCCGTCCTCTGTGATCACCTGTTTTTAGATGTTTGTTGGCTGTATTTACTGTGGACCTTGTCTCCAGCCCAATAAATGACTCACTTTTTGTTATTTAACACATCTTATTTTGCCTCCTACATTTGGGTCCCCACTCCTCCACCCCCCCACCCCCTCCCCCCCCTCCTTCTGACAGCAGCATTTATCGACAGCTACCAGGACAAACTCATCACGCATGTGATCCAATGCATAAACATTAACAGCCTGGGTTTAGTTTCAGCTGCCTCACACACGTAAAACTCAACGTTTTAGAAATGACTTTAAATCCAGGACCCGTTCCAGAAAACAGGCTTGAAAAAACTCAGTTTAACATAAAGTCTGATCAATTATTGATTAATTATTAATATCTGATTCATCCTTACGTGGGAAACTCTGAGTTTTGGGATTTTACATTAAGCAGTCAATATGTGCTTGAAGTGCAGACTTTCAGCTATAATGTAATAATAAAAAATAATAATGGTCCCTCTACATTTCTTGACAAATGAATGGTAAATGGCCTGTATTTGTATAGCGCTTTACACAACCAGTCATCCACCCATTCACACACTGGTGATGGCAGCTACATTGTAGCCACAGCCACCCTGGGG